TGATTGTAAGCCAAGGCCGAGGCCAGTGGCTTCCTATTGTTGTTGTTGTTGCGGCTCTGGTCTCCGTTCTTCCTCTTCTTCTCGGGGGATCCGTCTCAGTACTCTGTGCCTCTCTCATGGGCGTCCGTAGCCAAAGCCTCTTCGACGGCAATGTATTTCTGGGCCCTTTCTAGGAAGTCCAGCTTTGTCTTCGGCTGGCTTTTGGCAACGAAGCATTTGAGAGCCAAGCCGGGGAGGAGACCGCTGATGGAAGCATGCATGGAGACCAGGGGTTGAGGTCACAGACCTCGAGTTCTTCTTTTTTGAAGCGGTCGATGTATGACCACAAACTCTCTCCTTGTTTCTGCTTGACAGTCATCAACGAGACAATGCTTTTCTGGGGGCATCAACTATTGACGAAGCGGACGAGGAACATGCTAGAAAATTTCTCCCATGAGGTGATGGATCGAGGTGGGAGGTTGGAGAACCACTGCCGAGCGGCTCCCTTGAAGGTTGCTTGGAAAGTCTGGCACGTCAAGGCGTCAGAGTACCCATACAGGATCATAAGCGTCTTGAATCTCTCCAGGTGGTCGTCCGGGTCAGTGTTCCTTTCGTACGTTTCCAAGCCTAATCATTATACATTTTTGTATATGTATGCATGTATGCATATATGCATGGTTCATTAAAAAATGTCCATATACATGTATTTAATTAGGCAGGGTTTGGGCTTTCTAAGGACTAAGCCCGAGCCCATCTTGAAAAGTTTAAAAGCCCAACATTTTGGACCCAGGCCTAACCCGATGACTGAAATTTTAAGCCCAGCCCATGTAAAATTGCAGAATGGGTTAGCCGGGCTCAGGTTGGGTCCATCCAAGTTTCAACCCCCAATCAACCCATAGGTTCAAGAACAGCCTCCTTGTTCATTTAAAGAGGACAGTCCGTATACATAAAAGTATTTTCAAAACTTAATATACATAAAAATATTTTTGTTTTAAAAAAATAGTCTTTCTTATTGTGATTTTCTATCATGTTTTAACTAAAATTTTATGGCACATGATACATTAGCTTTTGTAGAAATAGAAAAGCTTTGTCTTAACAAAAATAACACCCTATTTGGTTCGTGGGAATAGGGGTCTGGAATCGGAAACAGAATGGGCTATTCCAGTTCCAACTGTTTGGTTGGGCAGAATCAGAATCCCATTCTCATTCCAGCTGGAATGACATTCCCCCATTTGAAGGAATGGCCATTCCCTGCCCCTCCCTTGAGAATGAAATCCCATTCCTCCTTATTTTAATTCTCAATGCCATTCCTGTCTAAACCAAACAGACTATGGGAATGGACCATTCCGATTCCAACTGCAAACCAAATGGACCTAAATAATTAAATAAATAATGTGACTAAAGTTTAAAATCATTTAGTCAAAACCCATCAGTTAGATGGTTACATTGTCGAATTGTTGAATCCATCTGACAAATCACATGCTGGACCCTTGGTCTTTTTTAATTATAGAGAGGAGATATCTTCATATGGTGTTCATTGATCTAAAAAAAATATATTATAAAGTTCCTAGGAAGATAATGTGGTGGATCTTGAAGAAGGAAGGGCTGTCAAATGGTGAGAGAGAGAGAGATTTCTGTCACAATGCCTCTTTACCAAGGTTTAGAACTTAGCCTTTATTTGCACTGGTAATAGATGAATTGGCTAAACATATCCCGGAGGAGGTCCCATGGTGCTTATTGTTTGATAGTGATATTATTTTAATTGATAAAACTAATAAATGATTAAATACAAAATTAAGTTTATAGATAATTACCTAAAAACAAGAAATTTTAATATAAGTAGAAAGCAAAGCATAATATAAGCAATATAAATTTAAGAATAATAGGAATGCAAATGAGGGCACATTTAGGATTGGAGACTCAAAGGTTACTCAATGTAACCTTTTTTGTGGTACTTGGTTCAATAATTTATAATAAGGGAGAGATTGAAGAGGATGCCGCCCTTAGAATTGGAGCAAAATAGGAAAAATAGAAAGGGCGCATTGAAAGTTTTTCTGATTGTAAAATTTGATAAAGCAGTTGCAAAGTCAGTAATATCTTATGGAGCAAAATGTTGGATGGTCAAAAAACATGTCCAAAATGTGGATGTTGAAACAAATGATTAAAAAACCAAGTATGATTAATAATGAAGTCCTTTGAAGGTACCTAGAAGTAATTCTAATAGATGATAAAACTAGAGAAAGTAGACCTAGATGATTTACTCACGTGCATAGAAGACCATTTATAGCATCCATAACCCTAAGAAAAACTGATTAGTCACAAGTTGAAGATGTTAGAAGGGCTATGGACAAACCAAAAAAGAACATGAGTTCAAATAGTAAGAAATGGTTTAAGCCTTCATAATTTTAATAATGAATATGACATTAAATAGAGCGGAATAGTGAAATACAATTCATGTAACTGACCCCAGAAGTTGAGATAAAGCTTAGATGATGATGATGACAACGAGGATGATGATGATGACAATGAGGATGATGAAAGCTTTTTTTATAATTTGAGTAATAAACCCCTTTTTTCACATATTCCCCACTTGTCATCCCTCTTTCTTTGATCATTAGGACGGAGTAGTAAGATGACTGTGTTTCTTTCATAAGACTTGTGGATCTATTTAGCTCCTTCAAGACGATAGGGATATGCTCCCATTTTACCCATGATTTTCATGTCTCTTTCTTGCCTAATTTTTCTTGCTATTCTATGAGAACTGAGTAATAACATACTCAAAATTCTTCAATCAATACTTCTTTCATCCATCTTCTAAAAGTAGCAGAATCCAATGTTGACCTGAATCCATACACCTCTTCCATATGGGCATTCTGCCATTAAGTCGTAGTCGGTTTCTTGATTCAACCATTATTTTGGTGTCTCAAATCTCTAGATTAATTTGGTATATCCCTGCTGATGCTCTGGTTGAGATGGTCATTAGGCATCCCTCCAAAAATAGAGGTGTTAGATCAAACATATGCAACTGCATGTTCTCTTTGATTATGACAGTGGACCTCACATGCACTCTACTCTTTCCCATCCTTGAGCCTATTTAGGTTGTGTTTAGGGGTGCAAATGGATCGGATCATGATTCGCTCTTGATTCGATCTTATTTGATTAAATTCGGATCACCCTTGTTCGGATCTTCAGATCAACCCCCCTCCCCTCATCCAATCCAATGCACATTATATATTTATAAATATAAATATATAATATATATATATATGTTATTTATTTATTTATAAATTTATTTTTATATTATATTTTTATAAATTTATTATAATTTTTTTATAAAAAACATGTATATATGATGAAAATAGTTAAAAAATACTTGTATTTTTTGTTTTTACTTTATTTAAATTAGTATATTTTATTTTATTTTTAATAATTTATTAATTAAAAGAAAACAAGTCGGATTGGATCAGATCTGAAGATCCAACTTACTGATAGGATTCAAATTCAAATTGAGTCCTATCAAATCCGATCCGATCTTTGGATCAGATCTAACATGAACAATATTGGATCAGATTGGAACATACCCTAATTCGAATCTGATCTGATCCATTTGCATCCCTAGTTGTATTTGGTATCATTGCCGTTTGGGGTTAAACAATAGATATTAGTGTGAAAGATGGATTGTATTGTCACATAATTAGCAATGTTTGGGGATCAATACATATTGCTATTATTATCTGAAAGGTCAAATTTGATGTTTCAACTCTAAACGGCAATTATCAATCACCACATGCACTTTTTTTTGGTTGAAATGACTATTATGTGCTGTAACACTTATATTTCTCAACTACCCCCCATGAATTGGGAACATCTCCTCCTGCATACTATGCAGAGGATGAGATGTTCTCCATGTGTGGCTCCAATAAACGTGGGTAGAGTTCTCGTGGGCAGGAGATTCGGGCTCAGATAGGCAATGTTTCCAAACACAACATTAATGTATACGTTTTTTCTTTTTTTCTTTTTTTCGAGAGAAGATATGTATACGTAATACTAAGGTCCATTCACTTTTCAGTAAGTTACTTACCCGGGTAAATGTTTCTTAAGAAAGACTTACTCGGGTAAGTGCATTTACCCATGTTCTTTCGTTTTCCAAGTAAGGCAACGACTATTTGAGCCATAAAAAAATCAATTATTAAAAGGGACATTTTTATTCCATTTAAGTGTCGACAACTTTTCTCCTAACGGAACATTCTTTTTTGGGATTTAGAGAAGGGAAAGTTACCAACACTTGAATGAGACTAAAATGCCCCTTTTAGTAATAATTTTTTTTTCGCTAAAATAGTCATTACCTTATTTATCTGAAAAATAAAAGATGATGAGTAAATGCACTTACCTAAGTAAATGCATTTACCCAGATAAGTAACTTACCAAAAGCAAAAGCAAATGGGCCTAACTGAAAAAATTATTTATCCATCATTTTTATACCACTTTCATAGACTTAATTACTTGAAATTAGGGGTAATTATGGGCCTGGACGGGCCATATCGAGCTTAACACTAATTACATATAAGGGCTATAGCTAGTTTTATTCATAGAAATTTGAGGACCCACGTCACCGGCAGCTTAGAAGACAATTTAAAATTACATTATGCCCCAGCTTCCCCTCCTTTTCGATTATCATTTCTCGTGATACCGGTTGATTGGTTACAAGTGTTTCCGTACTCTATATTGTCTACGCGAGTGGGCATAAGAAAGAACGGATTGAGAACGAACGATAACCTGAAATAGTTTGGCTTCAAAGTTTGTTTTTTAACTAGCGCGCACACACACTGCAGACTAGACTTACAAGTGCAGAGAGCACCAGAATCCTTTCTCTCCGTGCGCTCTCTGGCTCTCTTTCCAAGAATAAAAATTCCGATAAGTCAATAGTATCTAGACTTCGATCGAGGGACCTCCCTCCCCCAGGAAGTCGATGTAGCTGAGAAAGTCTAGGAAAGAACAAGAGGTTCGTTCTCTGAATCCTTATGCCAGAGGTTGAAGTAGAATCCGGCAACTCCATGCCAGACACTGGCTTGTCATCACCCGATAATTTTCTCTTCGGAAAATACGAGCTCGGGAAGTTGCTCGGCTGTGGCGCCTTTGCGAAGGTCTATCACGCAAGGAACGTTCGGACAGGACAGAGCGTGGCGATTAAGTCTATCAGTAAGCACAAGATCATCAAAGGGGGACTGGTTTCACACATCATACGGGAGATATCTATCATGCGCAGTCTAAACCACCCTCACATCGTCAAGCTCTTTGAAGTACTCGCCACCAAGACCAAGATCTACTTCGTGATGGAGTTCGTCAAAGGCGGTGACCTTTTCTCCAAGGTTGCCAAGGGTCGTCTCAACGAAGACGTCAGTCGTGGTTACTTCCAGCAATTGATATCCGCCGTCGGATATTGCCACTCCCATGGAGTCTTTCACCGGGACCTGAAATTAGAGAATCTCCTACTGGATGATCACGGCAATCTCAAAGTTTCGGACTTCGGCCTCAGCGCCGTGACGAACCAGATTCAAATGGACGGACTGTTACACACGATCTGTGGTACGCCCGCGTACGTAGCACCCGAAATCCTGGCCAAGAAAGGATACGATGGTGCGAAAGTGGACATCTGGTCGTGCGGCATCATCCTCTACATTTTGAACGCCGGCTACCTCCCATTCAACGACCCAAGCCTGATGGTGATGTACCGGAAAATCTATAAAGGAGAGTTCCGGTGCCCTAAATGGATGTCTTCAGACCTGCGAAGACTCCTAGCGTGCCTCTTGGACACAAACCCGGATACGAGGATTACCGTTGATGAGATCCTGCGCGACCCTTGGTTCAGGAAGGGCTACAAAGAGAAAGAGGTAAAGTTCCACGAAGAAGATTACGAGGATGGAAGCGCTGCCACGTTCCTCAATGCTTTCGATATCATCTCGATTTCTTCGCGTTTCGACTTGTCGGGTCTGTTTAGCAATTCGGGCGACTTGGTGGTCAACCGGCTATTCGCATCAGCCGAGTCACCGGAGAAAATAATGGAGAAACTAGAGGAGGTAGGGAAGAAGGAGAACGTGACAGTGACGAGGAAGAAAAACTGGAGGGCAGTGTTGGAGGAGCAAAGCGGTAATTTGATGGTAATAGTCGAGGTGTACCGGTTGACGGAATTTTTGGTCATGGTTGAGATCAGGAGCAGGGGCTGTGAGGCGCGGTCCTACGATGAGATATGGAAAAAGAAGATTGGACCCCAGCTGAGCAGCTTCATTTATCAGCCAGCGACGCCGGTTTCCGATAACTAGTCCAGAGTCCAGAGTCCAGAGTCCAGACAGACATCCGCCCTTCATATTTACTGGGGATCGGCCGGGAATTCCATAATCCATACGCAACGGTATCAAATTAAATTTTGCGTTAATGACTTGAGTACACAATTTTTATATTTTACAATATCTATGAATTATGATACCGGAAAAGTTTGACCAATCAGACCCCTTCCTCAAGGGTGTCAATGGACCAGTTTTGGATTGAATCTGTTCAGTTCAAAATTAATTTGGACGGAATAGACGGACCAACAAGATATATTGGATTGTACCATTCCGGTCTAAAATATTATTAGATTGGATTGAATCCGGTCCGTGCTTAATAAATTTATATTAGATTGGGTTGGATTAAACCAATATTCGGTCTATTGATATAAGATAAGAATATAGGTGTCAACGGATCAGGTTTGGATTGAAACCAATCTAAATCAAAACAAATTTAAACAGATTGTATGGTCTAGACATCGGATGGGCTACATGTGAATCTTGATGAATACCAGCTGCTCGGTTCGGTTACCACCTTAAGTTTATCACTTCACTTATCAGTACTTTTTGGGTTTTTTGGGTTAAGTACACTGCCATCTCTATTTTTCTTAGAGATGGCGAACTAGCACTTTGCCCCAGCCTCAGGGAGGAGAAATTTGTATTGTAAGTTCGTAAGGGTGGAAAAAGGAATAAAGGAGGGGAAGCGGGGGCAGAATATCAATTTGTAAATTGTCTTCTAGGCTGACCCGTGATCTGGGTGCCTCTTATTTTTGGGTAAATTATAAAGACCCCCCATCTACTATGGGGTCTGTGATAAAGACCTCTCTGTATTTTGTTTTACCACTCTATACTATGACCGTAAAATAAAGATCTCCTTCCGTTAGTTTTTCGTTGAAATTCAATGTTAAAATATTTTTTAATTCTCATATTATCCTCGTAATAATTATTCGAATAATTAGAAAAAAAACACTGTTCATCTTCCCAACTTCGCCATACACGAATAGCAGCTGCGGTAATGTCTTCCCCTCTACCATAGCTGCCACAACACATTGTCCGGATGCTTGGCCGACAAGCATTTACCAAGTTTCAGTAATTGTCCTACGAACAGCAGTTACGAGTAGTGAGTGAAATTCTTGAGATTTTTCACTAAGCAGGCGGAATTCAATGGCTCTTTTTTTAGCTGTTGCCAACATGATACGCTAGTGTCTCTTCCGAAGTATAGAGGAGAATTTTCAGTCATGTTTAGCATAGAAAATTTCCCTTATTTTTACCATGTTTCGCATTTTCCCCTGCGGCCCAGAAAAAGACGTGACATTCTACATTCGTTCGTTGTAATTAGAAATTTCTTCAAATCTCTCTACGCTTATACTCCAGGTCTGCAACCTTGATTTTTTCCCTACTATTACAGGGCGCCATGGATTCTAGGGAATCTAAGCTCACATTCTTTTAACGGTGGAGCAAGAAAAATACATATGTAGAAGAGACTTTGCAGAATTTATACACAATTATTCAATCTCTTGAAATCATTTAGGGCAGAATTCTTCAAAGAAAAATTCGAATATAATTTCACAGAGAAGTTGATCGAGAATTTGTATGCCAAATTCAATCCCGACCTCTTCTACTTCTTCCAACTTTGACATCTCCCTAGAAACCCAAACGGAGGACCTCATTTCTTTTTCAGCTAAATTGCTAATCACTCCCCACCACTCCAAGTATGAAGTACCCCTGATCATCATTCTTCCTTGTTTCCTCAAATTTCTCTTCAAACGAACCTGATCCCCAATCATCTGAGCTCGTAATACAAGCCAAAGGTGGAGATACACAATCGGACTTTGCAAGTGTTGTAAAAATAATAAAGAGGGCAGAATGGAACTTGCATGAGTTTGTTGTCACAGAATCTTAAAACTAGGAATTGTAGAGAGATGATGGTTGAGTCGTGCCACTTTGTCATTTTCCTTAAAACCGCATTTGCCCCCTACGATGTACTCGGGTGATCGTAAATTGGTCGGTAAGATAAAATAACCCACTGGCCATTGGTAGGCGTGCACTCGCTTACCAGACCTCCGCGAACCACAAAAAACTGATGTTCAGATCTACAGAGAAGACAAAGTCAAAAATGTTGTGTATAGACTAGGTCGACCAACACTCTTCTTATAAAGTGTTCTCAGACCCGAATGGACACAGAGGTGTCCGTTCAAACAGGAGCCTCTTCAGAATAGTACACCTATTCGAATAGGCACAGAAGAAAGAAGAGACACGAAAAGAGAAAACGTTTTAATTTAAAAATTAAAATACACACATGCGCCCTCGACTCGGTGCACCCCTCTCACATCGTAGGCATGCACTCGCTTACCAGACCTTCGCGAACTACAGAAAACTGATACTCAGATTTATAGAGAAGACAGAGTCATAAATGTTGTGCATAGACTAGGTCGGCCAACACTCTTCTTATAAAGTGTTCTTAGACCCGAATGAACACAGAGGTGTCTGCTCAGACAGGAGCCTCTTCAGAATAGAGCACTTATTCGAATAGGCATAGGGAGAAATAAGAGACACGAAAAGAGAAAAGGTTTTAATTTAAAAATTAAAATACACATACGCGCCCTCGACTCGGCGCGCGCGTGTGAAAAGCACCCCCAATCCCCTCTCACATGTATGGAATATCTATAGTTGAGAGAGCAAAACTATAAATATACTCTACATCCACTCCTTTCCCAAGCAATGTGGGATAAGGAGTTTTCCCATGCACTCAAGGGTGGGAAGAGGAAAAGACAAAAACAAGAGGGAGGAGAGAGATTCTTGAAATTTTGAATCTCTCTCCAATAATCTCCCACAAGATTCAACATTACAAGAAGATCAAACAATCTGAGCATCACAGTGAGAAAAGTATTCATGGTGATGTCTTTTGGATTTCAATCTACACTTAGGTATGACAGACTATGTTACAGAGTACGGGTGGAGTCAGACTCCTTCAACCTTTCCTCTTTGTCGTAAATAACTAACTGGCCAACCAACTCAACTCACCAGTTCTTTAGTGGTTCTTTTGTTTTGGAACATTTCGGCTTCGTTCCCCTCTTGAAATCATGAGTGTTTTAGAGAGTCAGCCCAAAATCTCTCTTAGAAATAGCCACATTTCACACTTACTTAGGTCAGTTATTAGTGTGCACTACACACACTATTCTTAACTGATTAAGAGCCTCATGCTCAACCTCCTCAAACTGTAGTGAGCACTATCTTATCTCGGCATCTAAAATAGGACACAAATGATGGTGCTTTCTCAAGTCATCTAGTAACTCGTTTTTACCAATTCAACATAATTGTAGGGATCTCCTTTCACATAGGTTGAGTGTCAATTACTAATGACTTATGTAATGGGCTTTAGCCCCATTCCTACCGATGCCTCACAAACCACCTTAGAAGTCTGTGGTTTGGTTAACGAATCTGCAAGGTTCTTTTCAGACCTTACAAAATCCAGAGCTATTGCACCTTCACTGTGGTATTGTCTTACCAAGTTATGCCTTAAACGAATGTGCCTTCTTTTATCGTTGTACGTCTAATTCTTGGCTCTGACTATTGTTGCTTGGCTATCACAATGGAGAGATATGGACGGAAGTGTTCCTACCCAAAGTGGTATACTTACCAGTAAGTTCCTTAGCCACTCTGCCTCAAACCTTGCCAATTCTACTGCAATAAATTTGACATCTATTTTTGAACTTGTGTTGCATGACTGCTTTACCAATTTCCACGATACTGCTCCTCCACCTAGAGTAAACACATATCCGCAGGTGAAAGTACTATCCTTAGACTCTGAAATCCAATTCGAATCAATAAAGCCCTCTAAAACAAGAGAAAAACCTGAGTAGTGTAAACTAAAATTTATGATTCTTTTTAAATATTTTAATAATCTTACTAGAGATTCCCAATGTTCATTTATGGGATTATGAGTATGGTGACTTAACTTTCCCACAACTATAGCTATGCCCGATCTTGTACAGTTCATTAAATAAGACACAAATCTAATTATACTTGCATACTCCTTTTGTGAAACAGGTTCTCCTACACTTTCCTGAAGTGAATACTACAGTCAAGAGGTGTTTTAACCGGTTTACAGTCATAATGTTTAAATTTTCTAAGAATACTTTCTACATAATGTGATTGGGAGAAAATAAAGTTTCCTTGTTGTTTATGGATTTTAATCCCCAAGATTACATCAGTTTCACCAAAATCCTTGGTATTAAATTTAGACATTAAAAATCGTTTTGTTTCTTTTACTACTTCTAGATTTGTTCCCATTATTAGCATATCATCAACATATAAACAGATCATAACTCTTTTATCATTTTCAAAAGTGATATAAACACATCTATCAAAATCATTTCTGTTATATCCATTAGTTATTAACACATTATCAAAATTTTCATACCATTATTTGGGAACTTGTTTTAAGTCATACAGGGACTTAATTAGTTTATATACTTTATTTTCTTGTCCTATCATTATGAAGCCTTCAGGTTGCTTAATATATATTTCTTCCCCTAATTCCCATTTAACAAAGTTGTTTTCACATACATTTGATGAACTATCAGTTTGTAGATGGATGCTATAGCAAACAAAACTCTAATTGTTGTTAACCTTGCAACCGGAGAGTAGGTTTCAAAGAAATTTACATATTTCTTTTGTCTGAACCCTTTAACAACTAAACTGGCCTTGAATTTATCTATTGTATCATATGATTTTAATTTTTTCTTAAAAATCCATTTACAATCTAGTGCCTTGGTTCTAAGTGAGAGATCTACAAGTTCCTAAGTGTGATTAGTAACTAAAAAGTCTATCTCACTTTTTATGGCTTCTTTCTAGAATACCGTATCAAGTGAAGTTACGAGTTCTTTATAGGTTATTGGGTCCTCGTCCACCAGAAATGTGAACATTCTGTCACCCAAGTTTGTTTCTCTTTTTTGTCTTTTACTTTTTCTTAAGTCTAGTTCTTGCCTAAGTGA